CTAGGCTCAGAATCTACTTTCGTTCTATTCTTCCAACCCACCAAGCACTTCCCAGCATGAGGACCCGTTTCCTCTCCCTGAAATCCTCTTCCCCAAGTTCCATCTGGCTATGTTCTCCTCATCCTTCAAGTCTCAGCAGATACATCATCCCCTCTGACAGACCTTCCTTAACATATCAGTTTAAATTAGGTCTCCCTATTCAGTTATATCATAAATTATAATTACACTAGCGGCCCAGTGCATGAATTCATGCACATTGAAAGAAAACTAATTAGAAGAAATATTTTAATATCGCTATTCGCCCTTTCTCTATAATAGAAGTGTCAACCAAATTCACGATTGACAATGACAGATTGAAACACACACCTGTGATTGGCGCCAGCGAGAGCTTTGTATGTATTGCGCATGCACGAGTCAACTTAGCCTTTTATAGATATAGAATAAACTTGCTTAATTGGACCTGCTTTCTGATTTAGCTAAACTTTTCCCAGCCCAGTGAAGCACCCCAACTTCTCTTTCAGGTAATTGTCAGCAACACAGCAGTAAACATCAACACGAAGCAGATTATTATTGTAGATCACGCGGGGAGGACAAAAGGTAAAATATTTAACTGCAGCAGTGTTTGACTATATTCTGAGCAGTGAGAAAACCTGAAGTCATTTTTAAGGTCCACCATTTCTTACTTCTTTTCAGTAGGGTCAAGTTTCTAAACTTTCTAAATCTCTGTTTTCTGGCTAATGAAAAGAAAATAGGATTCCACCGAGTCTCCTATCTACCTACTCCAGGACTTCTGTGAGGATCAAATGAGATGAGGCATGGGAAAATGCTCACCTGGCTATAAAGCAAGTTGCATTCCTGGGCTGAAGAAACTCCAAGGAGGCTAGTCGCTAGGGAGAGGAAGCCAGGCATTGCTATGTGGTCATTACCCAGCGGCCACAGCGACCATATCCAGGCTGGGGTGGGCTGTGGGCCGCATTTTGCGCCATGGGGTCTCAGCAGCGTTGGCTGCGATTTGGTGGGCTGTTGCTCTGGGGTGGTGGCGAGGCCTGTGTCCAACTTGCGGGAAGCTGAGTGTTGCTTTGTGGGCGCGAGGTTCATGGTGCCATTTCTCTGTAAATGGCCAGTGCGTGTCACGGCAGCTCCTGTATTGAGTGTCTGCCCCCTGGTGGTCAGCACGCATCATAGCTATCAGTCGGACAGACACTTAGCATATTAGCCTTTTTTATATACAGATATGTATGTAACCATTTGTTCAATATGCTTCCCCTGCCCAACTATATGTGTCATGTTATCTTGTTCACTGTTCCCTCCCCAGCTCCTGGCATATTATAGATGCTCATTAAGTGTAGCTTGAGTTTGGCTGAATGAATGATGAACAGAATAGTTTATATAGCAGGTACTCAATAAGTGTTTGAACTTTAATTCAAGTTAACCCTAGATAGATACTCTGCCTGGGCTTCAGAGGTGGAAACCTGAGTTTGCTAACATTATGTCTAAATATTATAACCAAGAAAAACTCTGCAGTGTACAATGGGAGACAGGAATAAAAACATTCATAAAAATACACTTTATGATAGCAAAAACCTAGGAAAAAAACAAATGTTCAGTGACAGGAGAATGAAGAACTATGTATGGTATAGTCACACAAATATTACACAGTACTGAAAATGAATGAGTTGCAGCAGTATGTAACAATATGAATCTTAGTAACACAATATTAAGTAAAAGTAATAATCTATCAAAAATTACATATAGCAGTACTCCTTTATAAGGTTAAAAAAACTCCTAAATTTTAAAAAATATTAAGTTTTAGGAAAACATATAGTAGTAATAAATACCAGATAGCTTAGTTGGGTAGAGCACCATCCAAATACATCAAGGGTGTGGTTTCAATCCCTGGTCAGGCCACATTTGAAGATGACAAAGAAGGAAAAAAATATATGTACATATGAGAAAAAAGAATGATGAATACCTTGGGAGAGGGTGGAATGGGGATGGACCACAGTTAGATTTTAGCTATTGCCTAAATCCTAGCTTTCATGTTGATGAGTTCTTATGGTAGTGTTATAAGTAAATAAATGTGTCCTGTGCATGGAGCAATGAAAAGAGTGTGCCATAAACCAAGGTTATGATTAATCTAATTCTGTGTATCTGGCATCCATTAAAGGATGTCAGGCAGCCTTGGTTGTTTGGGAGCAATGGGAAAGGATTCTTCTCTCCCATCCCTCTCTGGGACTTTTTTCCAGGGACTGACTCAGGTTCTCCTTCTAGAGAGGTGAACTGGTGGCACAAAGGTGTGGCAGCAGGAAGGGGAGTTATCCAGAGTTTAGCTACTTCAGGAAAAGGATCCCAAAATTGATGGGGAAATGACCCCTTCACGTTTTAAAAAACGTGAAGGCTAGAGTAGGAATCTGGAGGTGTGGGTCAGCTTCCATTCCCATTCAGCTTAACCCATTCCCCAGGTTAAGAACTGCAGGGTGTGTAGTTTCCCACCCATTTCCTGTTCTGCTTCATTGAAGACCTCAGCGTGGGGGTGGGGACGAGTTTCATAGGTGGGTCCTGAGAGAATGGGACTGTGGTCACAGGGTAGACAGTCATTGTAAGCACTCGGGGTACTAGGAACTGGAATAAACAGGGGCCAAAACCAGCATCTTTGAAATTCAGCTTTGGGAGTAGGGGACCACTGACTTAAAACTTTTTTACACATTCCTTTCCTTTCAGCCTGGCCCGCAACATGCCTGGATCATCTTCAATACCTCCTATCCCTCACCTCCCTGCTTTCCCTTCATCTAGGCTGTAGTTCTTAATCCTATACCTTCACCTCTACATCTACCAATCCCCCAAATAGGCCCTACTTTATGAAAAGAAAGGAATAGGGGAGGCCCTGGGAGGGTAGCTTAGAACCTTTCACGTTAGGGGATGGGACTTGAGGTCAGATTGAACTGGGTTGGGCTGGCTAGGCTGGAGTCTTACCTTTGGGGAAAGGGATTACAGAGCAGACTAGAGTGGGCTAAGGATATTAAAAGGGCTGGAGGTTGAGCAGTCCTAAAAAAGTGGGGCTAGAGGTCAGGCTGAATTGGGCTGGGATAGGAAACATGGGGAAAGAGTTGAGCCCAGGCTGAACTGGGAGTCTGGGGTTCAGGGCCTGTGCCTCTGCAGTGGGGCCTAACTGGGCCAAAACAATTTTTTTACGTATCATGCTGGGACCTGGGGCAGGGCCCTCACCTGTTCCTGAAAACAGAGAGGATGAGGGCCTTGAAGGGACTCTCCCTTCCCCTATCTCAGCAACTCCTCTTGACCAAGGTCCTTCCTCAGGGAGGTTGCTGGGGCCAACAGGGAGGAGCCAGATCTGCGGCTCCAGAGGAAGTCTGCTGGCCAGTTTCCTGAGTTCAAAAGTGGGTCCCCCAGTCTCTCTGACACACCCCCTTCCTCCAAGCAGGGCAGAGTCCAAGCCTGGCAATTCACCTTTTTTTTAAATCTCCCCAGCTCCTCCAACATACACACACACACACAATGAACCTTCATATGTCCAACCCAGTCACACAACTGCTGCTTCAACAGCCCCCCAAACCCAACACATACTGCTAAGCCATGTATTCATTTCTGTATTTGAATGCATTCTCATTTCTGTATTTGTAGCCTCCCACTCACACTCAGCGGTCATGCTTTCTCTGCCTTGTTCAGAACCATAGCCCTAGCACCTAGAGTTGTTCCTGGAACCCGGAGAGAGCTCAATGAATATTAGCTGAATGAATGAATCCACTAAGACACATACCATAAACAAATGCATATACTATCCCACATACATATTCACACATGCATCCGTTCCATTACATACACATATCTAAGTCCTCTCCCACCTCATCAGTCACATATACACATACAATGACACACACTCAGGCAAAAACGTTAAATGTACACCTAGCGCCAGACAGACACACTGCAAGGTGTTACCTAGCACTCCCAGGGTGAGTTGGTGGTAGCAGCTGTCTGGCCCATGTCCTTCAGTCAGGTCAGGCCTGCAGAAGAGGAGTGGTGCATTTGTGTGTATGAAAATGCAGGCTTTGGGGTCCTGAGGCACTGGGCAACAAGGAGCTGCGCTGGCAGCAGGCAGGGCCAAGATCCCTCCTAAATTGGAGAGGGGGCGGGGTAGGCCATGAACTGCTGTCCTTCTGCTAGCTGGGAGGTGAGGGTAGAGACACAGGTCCATGAGGTCTTACTTCAGATCCAGAGAGACCTTAGTGGGGGAATAGTCTGAGGCCTGTTTCCCCTGTCTGGGATGAAAATGAGGGAGACTGGGTAGGGGGCTTTGTAGGTGCTGAGACCCCATTCCCAATCCACAGTAGGGTGTCCCTGTCTTGACAATCCTTTTTAATGGTGGGGGAAGAGGGGATTAGAGGTGGGGAGTTACTACCTAGAAAGAAGTTTAAGAAGTGTCCTATTCCTCTTTCCATCCTTCTATGGAGCGGCTGCTCGTTAGCAACACCGCTTAAGCATTCTCCTCTTTCCCTCCATGCCCCACCCAAAGCCAGCAAGGAGATAAACAATCCCGCTCTGACTTGAGACCTAGGCAACTGGGCTGGTTGGCCTCCCTAGTAGTGGCCTGAATCTCACGGACTGAGCCTCCCAGCACTCTAACCACCCAAAACTCCTTCAGAGACCCTGTTCTCCACCCCACCCCCACCCCCACCAGCCTAACCCAGGGGAGGATATCCCAGGAACCCTGCCTCAGGGCCACCTTTCTGGCAGCCCTAAGACAGGAGTGAGGAACAGTTGAGGGGAGGGGAAAGGGGGAGTCAACTTTTGAGGGACAAGTGGCCAGATTGGGATACATTAGAAGCAACACTAGAATGATGAGGGGAAATGTGAGACAGGAGTAAAAGGTAATCCACAGTCCAATTCATACCTCCTCCCCAATTGACTGGTCTTAGGACTGCAGGAAGGAGAAAAGACTGCCTTGGGCAGTCATTATTGGGCACCAATGACCAACCAAGACACGCTCAAACCCAAAAGTCGCTTTATTGATCTGTACCATACATGACTCAAATGGCCAAAAAAAAAAAAAAAAGAAAAAAAAAAAAGGCATTACAGTTAAGGTGGGACATCCATCTTCCCCACCCCCTTCCCTCAGCTCCTGGCACAGTACCCTTCCAGCAGTGGTAGCTAGAGTGAAGGAATCAGGGTGTAGAGGGCCCCGGAATCCAAAAGGAAGAGTGGGAAGAGAGGTGGTACTAACACTTCCGAAACTGGCAGCGGGAAATGGCAGAGAAACCAGAGCTGGGCCCAGACTCATAGGATCTGGCTTTTGGCCTCAACCTGGGCTCAGAGCTTCCACCTGTCCAACTGAAATAGAGCTGAGGGTCCTGGCTGCCTTCCCCTTCCTTCTACGAGACCAGGAACTGGAGGGTATTGGGAGATGAAGATCCTCTACTTCAGCTGGCGAACAGAGGCCTACTCCTCCCTGGTGAGCTTAGAGCTGGGACATCCTCAGTGGCTCCTCTATGGAGGGCAGGGGAGGACTAGATACAAAATTTGAGGGATTGGAGGAAGAGTACTGGAGAATATGGATGAACCCCTCCCCCATCCCATGCCTGCCCAACTGAGACAAAACAAAACACAGTGACAAACAAGGCTGCTCCCTTCCCTCCAGACTCCCTAAGGGAGGGAGCCTCCCCCTCCTCCCATCCAAGGCAGCTGCTCTAGTGTAGGGCTTGTAAAGAATATACACATCATGGGGGGAGAAGGGCGCTGGGTTTGAAGGAGTCACAAGCACTAGGAGGGCAGGCCAGACTCCTGGAGGATGGGGAGACAGACAACAGCTGGGAGCTGTTACAAAGGTGAGGCCATCAATGGCCCCCTACCCCATGGCATGCCTTCCCCAACTCCAGTCACCCCCGAGGAAAAGGGAAGAGAGATGGCAAAGTGTCTCCTTGGTCTGAAGCTCTCAAACTATATAAAATGATGTGTAACCCCCCTACCCTACCCCACACTCACCTCCACCTGGACCCTAAGCCCCCCATCTGCCAGGAATAGGGAGGTAGCTGGACTTTTAATAAGGGGAAGAGGGGGGACATGAGTGATTTTTTTTAAACTTACATTTTTAATAATATTATTTTTTTAAAAAACGTGAAGCTGGGAGGTGGTAAAAGGGAGGAGCCCAGAGTTGTACCCCTCTATTACCAGCCACCTAGGTGAAGGGCCTGGGGGAGGAGTGCTCAACCAAGCCCCATAAATTTAAGTCCCTAGGAGCTGTGGGTATAGACAACCCCAGGCTTGAAGGGGGCAGAGTCAGGAGGATGGGGAACCCAGAACCTGGGGTGAAGATGGAGGCAAATGCTCTGGAGGAGGTCAGAACATTTCTCAGAGGCCCAGGGTCCATGTAGGCATCCACATGAGTACCCCCCTTCCCCCAAAAGGCTCTGCAGAGGCCAGGCCCAGCCCAGGGCCACTGCGGGGCAAAGCTTGGCACCTGCCCCCAGTGAGTCCAGTTCCTCCCTGAAGTGGGTGGATGGAGGCTGCCCATTTTAGATGCTCAGTCTCTTCATTCTGTCTTCTGCTCCCTGGGGCTTCGAGGGGTGGGGCAGGTAGGCAGAGCGCTGCGTGGCCCTGGTGAGGCCTTTACTGGGAGGCTTGTGATGTGGGGTTCTCCGATTTGCTTTCTTGGCTGGATGGAGGCTTGCTGTTCCAGGGGCTGTTGGCGCCCAGGGCAGGGGAGTTGTTAAAGCTGTCCTCGTCGTCAATGCCGTTGGCCGCGTCAAACTGGGTATTCTCCAGCCGGGTGATGAGCCTCTCGTCCTCGTCCCCGAACTCCCCGCCCATCAGGGTGGGCTCCCCCACCACCATCACATCCTGAGAGTGGCGGAGGTCCCCAAACATAATCGGGGCAGGGGCTCGCCCGGCCCAGGGCGGCAGAAACCCCCCAGAGCCCCAATACCCACCCAAGAAACTCAACACCCCCTCCCCCTTCTCATATCCCAATTTTAAACATCGACTCCTCTAGTCCCTGAATCCTTCCCACTGAAGGACTGCAGAGCATCACACCCTTTAACCCACATCCACTAGAATCTGGGAAGTCAATTTACTCCCCTAGCTCCCTATTCCATCTCCCCCAAATTTTAGGTGGCTCCTAAACTTCTGTCCACATGTAAGAGAGGGAGCAGATAAAAAACACCAATGGGGAAAGTATGTGCATGTGCATGTCAGTGTATTGTAGATTCACACATATTGAGGCTGCATGGCCCTCTATCAATGTGAATGTCTCTGATGGTCTGTGTGCCCCTAAACTGTCTGTCCTGAACGTCCGTATGTTATCATGTCTGACTCTGTCCCTTTATATCTATATTGCTATGTCTGAGTCTGTGTGACCACAACTGTGCATGTGACTACTAAGGACTCATCAGTGATAAGAGTCAGCCCATACTGGCAGAGTACATTGGTAAAAACCGTCTGTGCTTCTATGCCTGCTAGTGAGCTCACAATGGGACAGGGTCAAGGGTCAGGGGTCAGCAGTGGGGCAGCCCAGAAGAGAGAAGAAAGCCGAGATGCTTACAGGTACCTGGCTGGAGAGGGCGAAGGTGCTGGCTGGGCTTTTCTTCTTGCTGTTGCTGTTGTTGGTGTTGCCACCCCCCGAACTCATGGTGCTGCCCCCTGACATCTTCCGTTTCCGCCGTTTGCTGGGCTGCTGCCGGGCGGGCTCCGCTGTGCCAGAAAAAGGAAACTGAGGTGGAGCAGGGTCCTGGGGCCCTGGCTCCCTATTCTGGCTCCTAAGGAGCCTGAGCCTACCCTGATCCCAATCTTGAAGACCCAGGGGCAAGAAAAGGGCTTCAGGAGAAGAAACAGCCTTAGGGGATGGCATCAGATCCTGGTAAGAACAGGTACAGGTGCAAGGCACTCACCGGGGGGTGCTACCATACGCTGCCACTTCTGGAAAAGGCAGGTCTTGAGGCAGTCACGAGGGCTGAGGCTGTAGGTCTTGTGGCGGGACATGAGCTCCTGCATGGGCTCGAGTATCACACAGAGCTGTAGGGAGACCAGAAGGGGGCTTTTCAGGGGAGAGACATGGAACTGAGACCAAATGGAATGGGCCAGAGACTGGGTGATCAGACTCACTCGGAGGTAGTTGAGAGTGGAATTGGACAGCCCACAGCGTGTGATATTTTTGGAGAGCTGATCCAACATCTGGGGGTCCTGGGCCTAGAGGGGGAGAAAGAATACTAGCACTTGGGGTGTAACTGCTCACCTGCCCTATCATCTGAGCCTGTGACACTCCTGAAAGAGAAGAGGGGCTAGTATTCAATCATGTTTTAGGTGGAGAAACTGGAGAATATGGATGAACCCTCTAAGGTCACTGTCAAGAAATAGCAGACCTTATTCCATCCTTCCCACTGTGTGCCCTCCCCCTTGTGTCTTGGGTTCTGCCCACACTCACATGCATGGCAAGGATGCTGCGGGGGATGAGCTCCCGGTGCTGCCGGATGCTGAAGTGCCATGTCTTTATCCGCATCATGTCATCAAACATGAACTCCAGGTACAACCGCCCCTCCACACATACCTGGAGACAAGGTTGTCACAGCTCTGCCCCCTCCCCATACCTGAAAGTATACCTGTTCTCCCATTTGCTCACAACTCCCCCAACTGCATATACTTCTGCTCCCTGCACCTAAATCTGGGTATGTAACTGACATGGACTATCCCCTCACATACCTGTCACACCCTTGACCCTTACACATATACACATACACATAGAAATGCTTAACTGATCCTGTCTTCTCCAATGTAGCTAGTGATACACTCATCTGCTATGAGCTTTCTATTAGGGCAGGCTCTTGTTCACTGGTGTACATACCCCCGTGGCCTAGAATACAGTCATGTACAAGCTCAGTAAATGCCTGCTGAATGCTGCAGCACACCTGTTCTCCCTTCTTGTCTGATAACTTCCCATTATGCCTCCTTGGGGAACAGCTGAGTACATTTTGGGACAGAGGAAGGGAATCAAACTCAGGTGCTTCAGCATTCCACATCCAGCTGGATTGCTGACCTGGGTGAACATGGGTTTGCCGTGCTGGGTCACCATGCTGCCCTGGTCACAGTCGAGGGACACAAAGTTGCTGTGGAATGCCTCCTTGGGGTGCTTAAGCACATAGTACAGCTCTGTAGCACCACCCTCAAAGATGCTGCGGAAGTAGCGTGGGATCAGGGTCCGGCCAATGGCTGTAGAGATGGGAAAAACTCTTTAGAATAGAAGGACCTCAAAAGGGGTCAGGCAGATGCCATCCCTGCCAAAACAGATACGCTGAGACAAATACCCACTCCCAGACCTTAGATTCTCAACCTGTGGGTCGCAACCCCTTTGGGGGTTGAATAACCCTTTCACTGGGGTCGCCTAAATACATCCTGCATATCAGATATTTACATTACGATTCATAACAGTAGCAGAATTACAGTTATGAAGTAGCAACGAAAATAATTTTATGGTTGGGGGTCACCACAACATGAGGAACTGTATTAAAGGGTCGCGGCATTAGGAAGGTTGAGAACCACTGCCTTAGAAGGACACAGGAGGTATACATTCCCACAGCAGAACTGGCAGAACCCCCAGAGGCCACTCACTGTATCTCTTTGGTCCATCCTCCAGACAGAAAGTGATGGTTAACATGGCATCATCCTCAAAGAACTCAGTTGTGAAAGCATCCCACCAGAGATTGTCACAATTCTAAGAGCACAGGGAGAGGTATTTGTGTGTGTATCAGAAGATATCCCACAGGGTGCCCAGATGGCCCTCACCCTCCTCTTTCCCCTGGATACCTCTGTCCAGTTCTTGAAGCCGTTTGTTAAGCTCGAATATTCTGTAGTCAGTTTGGTTGCCATATGGTGTGTGCCTTCTGGGGTAAGTGTAGAAGGAAGTTAGTAGGAGCAGAGCCTCCTCCCACCCCCACCTCTGCCTTCACCCATGTAATAGAAAGTACCTCCCACCCCATTGGACTCCACTTACCCAATCCCAGGCTCCAGGTATGTAGGCGGGTACATGGGAGTTGGGCTGTATAAGGGAAGAGGCTATGAGAATGGGGGTGGAAGACAGGAATTATTGGGAGATGTCACTCCCTCCCCTTTTCAGGCAGGATCCCATCTGGAAAAGGGCTGAGAAGGGAACAAGACTCACCCCACATCCCGATCTAGCATGGTGCCGGGATGGAAGGGAGGGAAGGCGTTGCCGTTCGGGGGCTCCTTCGGTGAGTACAGCTTGAATGACTTTGAGGAACAACCTGGAAAGGAAATGAAGGAGGGGCATCCTGAGTCCCTCTTAGGAGCTCTCCTAAAGTTTGCTAGACTGTGTGGACAGTGAACTAGGGGAGGGGAACTACCCTAGGGAGTACCTATCTCTGCTTTAAATCTGGCTCCAATCTTGTTTTATTAAGAAACTAGAAGTACCCAGGCCCAATACCCAAGACCTTATTTCTTCATGTGGCTGAGGCCTGGATGATAAAATTGAAACTGGGAAGAAATGTCAATACCATTGAATAAATAAATATCCAAGCATTATAATCTAATTTTGATAAACCCCTCTTTCAACTACATTATTTTGTTCAATCATCACAACCATGATGTGAGGTAGCAGGGTCTACTGTAACATTCCCATTTTACAGATTAGCCAACTGAAAGCTCAAGGGGACTTGCCAAGATCATAAAGCTAGGATTTGAGCCCAGATCTTCTGATTATTCCCATATCCTGCAGTATTTCTACCTTTCTGTTCCCTCTGAAGATCAAGTCATGGGAGAAAGAAAGGGAATTTGGACAACTCCCTGCCCCTCCTCCACACCCAGGGTCTCAGGAGGGCAGGGGATGGAAAGATAAAGGGCGGTGGGTGCCTGCTGGGTGCTGCAGACCAGATAACCACTTGGGCCTTCTGTCCCGCCCCCCTGCAACCCCCCTCTAACGGCCACTCCCTTATCAGCCAGCCCCCTCCCTCACACCTACCACCAATCTAGTATTGTCTCCAAACCAGAAACCCAAAGCCTCAACCCATTTTGTCTTTGAGACTTACAGTCACTGGATCGTGCTCTACTTACAAAAGGAAAAGAGGAGGCCTAGGAAGGAGACTAGCTTCCAGGAGGCTCCATCTAAGAGGCAGGTGGTAACTAGACAGGGATCTCTACTGGTACCTGTGCTCCTGCATACATCTCCTCTCCACCTCACCCAGCAACACTCAGTTCTCTGACTGGAAGAAGTGTTATATTCATAGCTGGGTATGAGCCAGGTATCTCTGCAATGCTATTTTGCCTCTCTCTACAAGATGAGGGGAAACTGAGGCACCATTTCAAAGGTCTCGACCCCAGTTACAGGTGCTTCCTCGTCCCCAAACTTGATTACATTTGGAAGGGTAGCTGTATTGGTTGTGTCTGAGCCTCCTCCTCAATTTAGACACAAAATCTACTTTGTCCTTAGGGGGAAGAGACAAAGGAAGACCCTGTGCCAATGTGTCATTTAATTCTCTCCCCAGGGACCTTCCTCACAACACAGGCAAAAGGAGGGTCCCAGAAGGGCCTACACTATACAGTCCCTGAAGAAGCCAAGAGTCAGAGCCTGTGTGTGCCTGCACACATGTGTGCCTCATCTTGCCTAGCAGGCTTCTACCCTCAGCTCGCCCCAACATGCCTACCAAGGGCTGGAACCCAGCAGCCCCAGGCAGGATCAGAATGCCCAAAACAGGCCCTCGCCCCATGCATGAGCTCACACAGGCCACGTCCATGTTCCCAGCACAGCACACACGGCCTTCACATGCCTGTCTGAACTGAATGAGGAGCCTGTGTCCTCAAGAAAAGGGACAGTCCCACCCAGCCCCAAGTCTCCCCACTCCACAGACAGGGAGACCAAAGCCCCGTAGGAAGCCCAAACTCACACAGCTCACCACAGGCCAGGCCTGGCCTTAACTAGGCCACCCTTCCCCTAAAAGCATCACTGCCCTTGCCCTTAGTTTCAGGGCTACTTGGAGAAATGTGTCAGCTCAAGACCCTAAAAAGAAGGGAGGCAGGACACCTGGGTTCCTCTTTAATTCTGAAAAAAGTTTCAGAACTTCAATTTCTCTCACTAGCAAACTGACAGGCATTGTCTGGAGTTGGGTAACAGTTCTGAAGAGGAAAAATTCAAAGCTCTGTGGACTCTATTTACACCTCCAGTGAATGGACACAAAAACTCAGCACCTCTCCAGAGGCATAGCAACTCCCAGTAGCCCCAGCACAAGGGCTTGGGAGTGAGAAGAGAAGGGGAGGGAACATCACCCAGACCATCTGTCCCTGTTGCTGCCTGTCCCCTGCAGCAGGGGTAGAGGGAGCAAAGTGGGGGTGGGGATGAAAGGGATGTGTCATCCAGACTTGGAGTCAAACAGAGCCCCCCTCCAATCTCTAGCAATCTGGGAAACCTTTAGGAAGAAGGAGAAAGGGAGAGCCCAGAACTAGTAAAGTTTTCTCAGGATGCAAGCTGCATCCTAGGGCGGAGGGGGGGCACCTCCAGCTGGGCATTTCCATGGTAACCAGCCTGACTTGAGGGCAGGGCTCCCTCTCGTTGGGGCTGACCAGAGGTCAGCAGGCCTGGGAAGCCCTGGCCTCTCTGAGTTTGAGGCACCGCTCCCCCAGCCCAGCACACCAGGCCAGGGCTTAGACCCAGGACTTTCTACCCCACCCCCTACAGGCTCGCAGGGCGCTCAGACTTTACCTGGGAGAACTGAGGGGCCCAAGAGAGGTGCGGGGAGCAACTGGCAGCCCACCAGGGCCCTGGCAGGGGTGAGGACTGAAGGGGGGCCAACTTCAGCCCGCTCATGTCCCGAGTGGGACGGGCAGGCCTGGCTGGGAGCTCCACTCTGCAGGCCGCACAAAGACTCGCACGCACTGCCTTGGCCTGCCCGTGGCGGCCACAGCCCCGGGGGAAAGTTATAATGGCCACTGGGCCGGGGGCCGGGGGCCAGGGGGCCGGCCTGGGGGGCGGGGGGCTGCGGGGAGTCCGAAGCCTTCTTTGTTTGCGAGGTTTCCCTCAACAATGGCTGCTCCGCTCTCTCCTCTCTCCTCCTCCTCCTCGGCTCTCCCCGCCGCCGCCTCTCGCAGCCTCTGCCTCCAAGCAGCCCACCCGCCCTCCCCAGGCCACCAGGCCCCTCTGCGGGGGCACCAGGAGAGGCAGTGCCCGGCACTCACACTCACTCACAATCGCACACGCACAGACACACACAGCGCCCACCAGCTCACAGCCTTTCCTCCTTTCTTTCCCTCCCTCCCAGCTCGCTCTCGGAGCCTCTCTCAGAATGAGGCCCCAGGGCGGGCAGAGGGTGGAGCTGCCCCCACCGGCCCCGCCCCCTCCCAGCCGGGGAAGAGGAAGAGGGAGAGAGAGAGGGAGGGAGGGAGAGAGGGAGGGAGGCAGGCAGGCAGGCCTGGAGGACTGCTGAGAAAAACAAAGAGAGACAGAGACTGGGAGAGACTGGGATGGAGAGATGGAAACAAAACAGACGGGGCGTGCAGAGACCTGGATGGAAGGGAGGCCTGAGGGGGCCAGGAACTGAGATGTTTCACGACCCCTCCCCAACTCACATGAGGTGCTCAGGAGTGAGCAGGGGAGCCAAAGCCACAGGCAGGGATGCAGGAGGGCGCCCTCCCCTCTGGAGACTCCCAGTGTCTTCAAACTGCCTCCCAAAGGTGCCCCACGTCCCTCTGCCTCTCCTCTGTGATCTCTTGGGGTGAACACTGGTCTGGGCTGCCACCCCTGGTGAAATCCCAGAGCAGCTAGCTGGGGGGAGTCTCCAGGGGGTTACTTTTGACAGAGATAGACTCTGACTTCAGCCTGTAAACACTGATTGGAGGGAGGGGGACACTCCAGGCTCCTGGGTCCCCAACCCAGCTAAGTTCCAAGCCCTGACTTAGATCTGCCTTAGCAGGAGGCCCCTTCCTCCACCTCCACCACCTCCACCACCACCACCACCAGAGACACGTGGGTGCAGGGGAAAGAGGCGCAAAGCCACGCTTGCCCAACCAAGGGTCTACAGAAGGGGCTTAGTCTGAGGCTGAATCCTCCCCAACACCCCAGTAAAAAAGATATGTAGTTACTGGAGCAGAATCTGTTCTCCAATGCCAAGGGTAATCCCAAGAGAGGAGGTGTTTCTAAAACTTGGGTAGTGGTCCAGACCCTACTCCCTGGACAGATAGGAAAAAAGAAACATACACACATACACACACACACACGCTAGAGGGGGCAGCGTATGACCTCCTACTTCATTGAAGGCGGAGTTGCTGCTCCCTACTTCCTACCCACCCCCACCATATTCACACATAGTCCCACGACATACACACCAGTTGACTGTGCAGAAATAATATTGCACCCGGCTCTGTGAACATCCTCCACACATAAATAACACATCTCACTTTCACATAAATCAGTACCTGATACACACCTGATACACACTTTTAACCAGTGATAAACCTCAAACCCTAAATAAACCCAAACCCAAGATGCACATGCACAGTCTATTAAAGACCCTGACTTCCACACACACTGTGACTAGTGACACACATTCCCTAACCCTAATATACACACCAAAAGTGCATTATATACCTCCTGAACTTGTGACAGACTATTAGATACACATACTGACCATTGGTTATCCAGGGTTGAACCCCGTAAACCACACTTCCTGAAACCTGCACGGCATTCTCCATCACAGCCTGGCCATGACACACCCCAGCTTTCACAAACATCGAAATCTGTGACATTCAGCCAGACCCTGCAAAATACTGCCTACACCAGGACTTGCGCCATTCCCACGGACTCCCAAATTTACAGTTCAACTCTGGGATAACCACACTCCTCCCCCACTGACAATTCCTGTCATTTGTTTAGTGCCTTTAAACTTTCCAAAGTGCACTCATAGGCAGTACCTTAAGAAATCCTTACAGCACACAGAGCCAAATATTACCCTAACTAGAACAGACTATAATAAGACAGAAGGGCCTGAGCCTGGAGTCCTGGGTTTCTAACCTCACTCACCCAAGCCCAGTCCTAGGGCACTGCAGCCATTCCTGCTCTCTTCCCCCTCCAAGGAATGCCCATTCCAGGCCCCAAATGCGTGTCTGCTAGTACATGGGAAGGGGTATAGGTATATGCTCTGGCTTCTGCTCCAGTTCAGAGCTCAGAACCCTGACCCAGTCTGTCTCCTCAAATTTTGGGGAGAAGGGCCCCTATATACCAAGACACACCAAGGCTCTGGCATATCATCCAAAACGGACCCTCTCTTAGTTCCTTCTCGAGCAAGTCTACTCCTCCCTATGTTCTGACTTAATTCTCTCACTTGCACAGGGGCAGGAGAGGTCCAGCTAAAGAGAACAAGTCTGAATTAGAAGGCCCTAAAATTTGGGGTGGGAATGAGCAGGGAGCAGCAAAGAATGACAAAGGTGATGAGGAAAGAGTAGAGGGAGAGCACCCCTCCTGGAGGTGAGAACTCTGAAGGGCAGCAGCCTGCCCCAGCCCACAGGATAATGTACCAGCACTGCCCCCTGCCCGGGCCCCTGGGGCTCCCTGACCCAGGCCTCCAGTGTGCCTGCCCCCCTTCCTTTGTCTGTGCCCGGCCTCCCGTTGGCCTGGCGCTCTGCCATCCTCCTCTCCTGGCTCCCAGCCGCCACCACTGCTGCCTCCTCCCCTCCCCCCACTCCTCCCTGCCTTAACCCTTCTGAGCCACATGCTGCCCCAGACAGGCCCTGGCCCCTTCAGCAGCCTGCCCTGCCCAGGGTGATGCCCCTCAGCAGAGGTTCTACCTGTCCCTTGACCAAAGACCCAGAAGCTAGTCCCCACCCAGGAGCACTATGGGAGCTGTGTGTGTGTGTATGTGTATCTTGTGGTGTGCATGTGTGTGGGTCTGCGTGTGCTCTGGCTTCCCTCAGTCACATGTGTGGGGCATGTGCTGTCTCTGCTGGGCTCGGGGAGGAGGAGGAGCTGGGAGACAGCAGAGCACAAAGGAGAGACTCAGACAGGCAGGCAGGCAGCAGGCGGGCGGCCTGCCAGGGCGCCTCAACCCCCACCCTAGGGCTGCTCAGGTTGGGTGGGGGTGGGGGTGGGGGTGTCTTTGGGCCTGGGCTGTACATGCTGCCACGATGTCCTTGTGTTCAGCCATGTGCTCCCACCCACCCATGCAAGCCTGGTCCCCTCTCTTACCCCAACTCCTACCGTTCCCCACCTCCAGGGCCCTCCCAAGCCCTTCTTCATGTGGTTCTCCTTTAACCTCCATCCACCCGCTGTGACATCAATCCGTAAGACTTCTTCACATTTGGTAAATGATTCCCCAATCTTAGCCATCTTTTGCCCCCTCTCCCACAACCAGGTCAAGACACAAGAAAGGAACATGCCTTTGGGGGCACTGACTGAATATGCCCCTCCCCCCCATTCCCACCTCTTGGTGCTTGAGTCCTCTTCCTGTCCCCATGCTGCTACACTACAGGCTGAGGGGGAAACCTTCTCCCTTCTCTACTGGACCCAAGCCCCCTGCCTCAACTTCAGGGCCAACCTCCCATCTACCCTCAGCCTGACAACCCCTCCATACCCACCTCCTACCCACCATTTGTAGGAACTCAGAATCAAAATATAAGACTCAGTCCTCTAATTTGTCCAGAGCCTTCGTTTCTGCTATGCTCGTGTGTGGCAACGGAGAATCAAGACCGTGGGGTGGACTCAGAGCATGAATGGATCCGAACAAGGCACCCAGCATGGAGCAATTTATAAAGAAAATACACACATAAATATGCACACCAAGCTGGTAGGAGGAAGAATGATGGGACTGGGCAGGATTCCAGCTTCGTAAGCTCTTTCCTTTCCTCTTCCTCACCCTCTGCAGCAGGAGCCGGGGTCCCCCCCACCCGGATATCCCAGGACTCTCAGGCTCCCCTAGCCCTCCTCCTGGGCCCTGGGCCCCTTAAACATCAGCCTCAGCAGGCACTTTAAGTGTGTGCCCAACCCAGTTTGGCCAGGGTCACATGATTTTCAAGGAAGCTTCCTCACTGGCAGCTTCCCTTGGGGACGGGGGGGAGGGGCAGTTGTGGGTTATGGGCCTCCCACAAAACAGAGCATCCCAAGAGCAAAGGACCCAAACCAGACTAGATTCAGGGAAACCTGACTTTCAGAAGAAAGCTAACTCCAATCTGGGACAGGAGGGCGTCCCGGGGAGTCCTGGGGAGGTGGAGCGACGGCGTTCTGAGGCCCCCTGCAGACTACCTCTCCAGGCACAGCGCCTCTCTCTTCCCCCAGGCAGTGAAGGGGAGCCTTCCCTCCCCACCAAAGAACTCAGATCCAGGCTGTCACTGGCAAGAGCAGTGTTTTGGGGAGGCAGGGATCTGAGCCTAAGTTCTCTCTCAAATTCTTATTTTGGGTTCAAGCATTGCTCCCCGCAACTCAGCTCTCACAAATCATTCTAGCTCCTATTTTGCCTGGGGCTCCACATTCCCCCTCTCACGAGGGCGGGCATGCCAGGCCCCAGGGCCCAATTATCTGCCCCCTCTCCCCCCAGGAATACCTCCCGTCCCTCAGGATGGCCAGCCTTCCCTGGCAACAGGCAGGGACATTGGAAGGGGGGAAGGGGGGCCCCAACTAATCCCTCCACCCAAACTCGGTCCTCAGAACCTGCCTGGAGGGGGTGTCACAGGATCCTAAGAGGGAATAGGCAGCAGGGAAAGGGGGGGGACAACCCAAACCAGCCAATCGCAACTCTATGATGACCTGAGGGGGGGGGGTCAAAAGTCCAGACTCACTTCTGATTGGCTAACACCCTGGAATTCTGGGAATTTCAGCCCCCCCAACCCCTCCCCAAGTAATCTCTCCCCCACCCTCAAAAAAAAAAAAACCCTAACACAAGCTACCCCCAGCGACCCCTTCTCCTAGGCTCCGGGCTGCTGCGAATTTACCCAGTTGGGGAAACCCCTCCCCGGGACCGAGGTCCCGCATCCCCCTCACAGCCCCTACCTCCGCCATGCCACCGACGCCCCCCACACAAGTTCTCGCCAAACAAGGGTGAGGGATCCGCAGAAGGGGAGGGAAGGAGGGAGGGAGGGGCCGGGCGGCCGTGCGCCTCACTCACCAGGACAGGCACAGCCCACTGACATCTTCACATCGCCCGCCGCTGGGAGCCCAGCCGAGTCACGGTGCCCGCCCCGCGTGGGGACAGGCCGGGCATGAGCCGCCGCCGCCGCCCGCGGCCCCTGCTGCCCTCGCCGCCGGCCCAGCCAGGCCCGGCCTCGGCCCGGTGCGGGCGGGCCCTGGCTGCAGCGAGGAGCCTGTCAGGCGCGGAGCAGACAGGAAGGAAGCCCGGCGGGAAGGCGAGCTGCCCCTGCGTGTGCGCGCGCGGGTGTGCGTCCTCCGAGTGTGTGTCCGTGTGCGCGCGTGTGCGTGTCTGTGCGCTCCCGCCGCCCGCGCCGCCGCCGCCGCTCGCCCCCCGCTCCCTCTCCCGCTCCGCCCTCCCGCTATCTCCGGCGCCCGCTCCCCGGCGCGGATCGGGTTGGGCCGGGCTTTATTAATATGCTAATTGCCTGCTGGGGGGCGGGGCGAGCGTGTCAAAGTGACCCGACGGGCGCAGCGAGCGGCGACGTGCGTGCGCCGCGCGGCGGGCGGGCGGGCGGCTGGGGGCCCGGAGCGTTCGGGGAAGGCGAGCATGTGACGCAGCTTTTAAAAAAGGAGACGGAGGCAGAGACCCCGGAGAGGGAGGGCGAGGGGGCGGGACTGGAGGCGAAGCTTCACCCTCCGTGTCGGTCCTCCCGGCGCACCGCCGAGGTGGGAGCCGTGACGAGCCGGAGCGGGAGCAGGGACGGGGGGAGGCGGAGCCAGGGCGGGCTGCGAGGTGTAGCTCTTTCTCCACCCCAGCCGCCACCCGGGAGGGAAAGGAGACTGCTGACCCCCCCCTTCCCCATGCTCCCCGCTGAGACCCCAGTCCTACTCTGGGGGCCCCTTGTGAAGCGCCCCCATGCAACCTGGGTGAAGAAAAGAAGCTTTATCCTAATTCTTGTGGCCGCCCTCCCACTGGCCTCCTCCCTAAATTAACCACCCTCCCTTGCCTGCTAAACCAGTTGGGACTAGAGCTGAAAGGGTTAATTAAGTGGGGTCCCCGCCCTCCCCCGCCGGAGGGCCTGAGATCAGCGTTTTCCTGGGGGGAGGGGGCAGAGGCTTGACCGCTTGGCTGGACTGGGGAGTGGGAATCGGCAGGCTGTCCTTCCCTCCAGCAGGCTCTCTGACTCATCCGTCAAGACACTCTCCTCCCTTCCCCCTTCTCCCTCCAGTCTCCGCCTCCCCCACCCCACCCCACCCCACCTCCGGCCCCCCGTCCCTCCCCTGAAAGCTGCTCTCGCCTTTGAGGGTCTGGAGACGGGGGGGAACCCCCCCCCAGTGTCCCCTACCCGCAGGGGCTTTGGCCACGGTGGGAGTGGGGTGGGAGGGAGGAGGACCTGGATGGTCAGTGTAAAGAACACTCCTTCCCTAGGGAGGAGCCTCCCAACCTTCAGGCACTCCTCAAGGACTCCCCCACCCAGCCGTAGGAGGGGCTGCTCCATCTCCTGCATCTCCATCCTTTCCCCAAAGCCTAGCCTTAGCTGCCTCATAAACAGGAAATACCTATTAGCAGGGGGAGGGAGGGGAGCCGTCTGGAAAAGAGAGTTGGTCCCCCCCCCTCCCTCTGGGGGGTCCCCAGCTGCCAGTTTCTCTTCCTTAAGCTTCAGGGTGGGCTGCAGGAGTAGATGCCGGGGCTCTGGGCTGCTCCCTAAGGCATCTGGTTGGGACTGAGCAGGGGGTCCTCTTTCCCTTTGTTACGTAGAGGGGGGGTTGATAGTGAAGGTTCTCTCCTGCCCAGTCTGCACAGCTGGTTTGGCTGAGGGTGGGTTACAGATGTGGAGATTTAAGTGTTTATGGGACCCCTTCTCTCCACCTTAGCTTCCGCTGAGGGAGCAGGAAATTATGGGAGGGTGAGGATCTGGGGGTTGAGAAGAGGGCCTTCCTAGGTTTGGGAACCCCTCCCATGTGCTTAGGAGAGTGTTGGAGAGGGGAGCTGCTGTGAGCACTGCCATATACTCCCTCCCCCATTCTCATCCACCCATTTGATTTCTCCACCCCAGCTCTTCCTATTTCCACCTTCAAGGGAGCAGGGAGGGGCTCATCCACAGCTATACAGGTATCCTTGACAGCATCCCCTTCCTGTGTCTCCCTCCTCCCTACATCCCCCAGGCAGAGGTCCTCACTAGAGAGGTAAAGGGAACCTAAAGCAACAGAACGCTGCCTTGGAATTTGGATGCCTGGGGTTGAATTCCATCTTTGTCCCTCACTAGCAAATGACCTGAGACAGTTGACTTCCTCACTCTGAGCTTTACCCTCAAGCTTTATTCTCTGTAATTGGTGAGAATCAACTAGGCCAGTGGTCCAGTGGTCGGGAAACTGCGGCTCTCGAGCCACATGCGGCTCTTTGGCCCCTTGAGTGTGGCCACGAAGTTTCAATCGCACTGTACGTGCCCGCCCGCACGTGGTATTTTGTGGAAGAGCCACACTCAAGGGACCGCAGTTTGCCGACCACTGAACTAGGCAATATATGCCCAGTCACCTAGCCCAGTGCCAGCCATGTAGTCAGTACTCAATATACATTAGCCCCTTTCTGATTTCTTTGAAATTATCTGTTATCTCAAGAGTGTCAGGAGCGGCCTGGATTAGCTGGAGGATTAGAGATAGTGCGGAGGAGAGGGGCTACCTGCCTTGATTGCTTTCACTCTCTACTGTTCATGAATTTGCATTTGTGTTCCCCCAATCCTGTGACCACTTTTCCCCTAAGGTCACTCATTCCAAACAACTAGCTTGGCCAGATTCCATAGTAATCACCAATTACCTGGGTGGACAAAGGGATTTACAACCCACCCTATAGGGCACTTGGCTTCCTCTGAATCTGAAGGGACTCCTAGATTACATATATGGAATGTGGAAGGCAAAGAAGAAAAACAGCATTTTTTTGAGTATACACTATGTGCCAGGCACTGTGCTAGGTGTCTCACACCTGAGATCTCATTTACTGTTCATGACAACCTTTGGAGAAAGGTGCTATTACCTTCATTGAAGAAGCAAGAAAACTGAGGTTTAGAGGTTAATATATATGATTTACCTGTAAACCATTCTTATTCCTCTTTGCCTACTAATTAGTTAATGCCTCATTTAAATTTTTTATTTATTTTTAACTATATATTTTTTTATTGATTTCAGAGAGGAAACATCAATGATAAGAAAGAATCATTGATTGGCTGCCTCCTGCATACCCCCTACTGGAGGTCCAGCCCACAACCCCAGGCAGGTCCCTGTGACCTTGTGGTTGGTTCATAGGTCTGTGCTCAAATACTAAGCCACACCAAAGGGCTGTTATTGCCTCATTTAAATTTCAGTTCCAGCTCCAGCTCCTCTAGGAAGTTACCCCTCTCACTCCCATCCCAGCTGATCTAGTGGTCCTATTGGTTTTAAGAAAATATCATCTCAGCCCAGCTTGTGTTGTTCATTGGTTGAGCCTTGACCCGTGAACCCAAAATTCACTGGTTCCTGGTCAGGGCACATGCCCTGGTTGTGGCTCCATCCCCAGTAAGGGGCTTGCAGGAGGCAGCCAATGGATGTTTCTCACTCATCCAGGTTTCTTTTTCTTTTTCTTTTTTAAAAAATGTATTTCTTTATTGATTTCAGAGAGGAAGGAAGAGGGAGAGAGAGAGAGAAACGTCAATAAGAGAGAATCATCGATCAGCCGCCTCCTGCACCCCCCTCACTGGGGATCGAGCCCGAAACTCAGGCATGTACCCTTGGCCGGAATCGAACCTGGGACCCTTCAGTCTGCAGGCTGATGCTCTATCCACTGAGCCAAACCAGCTAGAACTCATCCAGGTTTCTATCTGTCTCTCTTCCTCACTCTCTAAAATCAACAAAAACTTTTTTTTTTTTTTTAAGAAAATATCCCCTAGCTGGTTTGACTCAGTGGATAGAGTGATGGCCTGTGGACTGAAGGGTCCCAAATTCAATTCCAGTCAGAGGCACATGTCTGGGTTGTAGACTCAATCCCCAGTGGGGAGGCAACCAATCAATGATTCTTTCTCATCATTGATGTTTCTATCTCTCTTTCCCTCTCCCTTCCTCTCTGAAATCAATAAAATATATATTTAATAAAGAAAGAAAGAAAAGAAAATATCAAAAAAACAAAGGAAAAAAGAAAAGAAAAAAGCATCAGTCCTGGTGGGGTAGCCCACTCAGTTGGTCAGAGCATTATCCTGGTACACCAAGGTTGCCGGTTCCGCCCTCGTCAGGACACATACCAGAATCAACCAATGAGTGTATACATAAGTGGAACAACAAATCAGTGTTTCTTTCTCTCCCTTCCCCTCTCTCTCAAATCAATAAAGAAAAAAATTATATAGGTAGTCAGTTGTTATAATCAGGTAAGTCTTTGGTGAGCATGGAGTAAGGACATGTGATTGGAGGGTCCAATTTTTTTTTAATATATTTTATTTGAGAGAGGAAGGGAGAGGGAGAGATAGAAACATCAATGATGAGAGAGAATCATTAATCAGCTGCCTCCTGCAAGCCCCACATTGGGGATTGAGCCCACAACTCAGGCATGTGCCCTGACCGGGAATTGAACTGTGACCTCCTGGTTCATAGGTCAATGCTCAAACAATGAGTCACGCCAGCCAGGCAGAGATTCCAATATTTGGTGGCCTATGTCTCTGAGGTTTTCCTTCATGGCCCTTAGGAATGTATCTGTCATGCACCATCCCTAGTAGTAGGCATAACACCACCCCTGTCTCAGTAGCACTAAGACACAGAAATATATTATTTTTTTGAGTAGATTCCACGTAGACACCATATTTAGGTGAATAAATTGTTTTGTCAGATGCTGAACAAAGCAAAAATAGCACTACTTTCTGCTTTCTTTGACATTAATCTTCTTCCCAAAGCCTAATCACCATAATTATGACCATAATTTGTGCCATAATAGAGTACCACAGACTAAGTGATTTCAACAACAGGAATTTATTTTCTCACAGTTCTGGAGGGTGGAAATCTAAGATCAAGGTGCTGGCAGGGCTGGTTTTTGGTGAGACCTCTTTCCCTGCATGTGTCTCTTCCTCTTCTGACACCTGCCTTATTGGATTAGGCCCCCATTTTTATGATGTCATTTAACTTCACATCCTTAAATTCTCTATCTCTAAATACAGTCATATTGGGGGTAGAGCCCTTCAACATAAGAATTTTGCCTGGTGCAGGGGTGGAGGTGAGCACAATTCAGTCCACAGCAGAGGTCTTCTTCCCTCATTAATTTTTGTGGGAATGTATATTGATGTAATTTTTCTCAAGGGCAATTTGGCATTATTTGCCAAAATTTCAGATGTATACATC